TTGTACAAACTGTAACAATATGTTTGAATAAACAGACCTGAGGCATGACCTCACCTTAACTCCAAAAAAAAAAAAAAGAATTGAAACATATGATATTTTACTTACTATATAAGGTAATTAGTCATATACTTGCTAATTTTTACTATAAAATTTGTACTTTTTAACTATGGACTACTAATTAATCTATCAATATTTTTGAATTAAATTATTAGTAAATTAATAATTTTATAATTTTTGATGCTATATAATATTACACATTACTAATGATCAGAATTATGAATAACATTAACCAAAATTTAATAACTAAAGATATCTATAAGTCTAGTATTATCATTCTAAAAAATTTCACTAACTAATGTAATCTTATTAAAAAAAATTGATTTACAATTAATTTAAAGTTAGAATTCAACTAGTAGATTAATATTTAGTTTAAAGAGTTATAATTATAATAAAATTTCACAAGTAATTTTTTTTGTTAGTACACAAAAGGCACTTTCTTAAACAAAATTTTGAACTATGAACATCTTTTGTTAGTTTGATTTTTTTGTACTTTTTTGCATTACACAAGATCTTGAAATCTGATTAGGTATCAATAATTTTTGACTGATGATTTATTTATTATTAAAGGAATTACAATTATCAAAATATAATATCAACCTTTTTTTTAATTTAAATTCAGAAGCAAACAAAAGTTATTTAGTATTATTTTGCTAATCTTGATTATGTAAACCAATATTTCATGTTTCAAAATTTTTGGTATCTTAACTCATATTGCTTTAGAGATGTTATAAATTAAACTACTATACATACTCATGTGCAAGAATTTTTTTAGTAAAGAATCACTTCATGCTTTTATATTATATATTATAATTAGGATTCTTAGAAACAGTTTGTTAAAACTATACTAAAAACATAAGATCAATAAATAAAAAAGAAAAAGAAAATGCTTGATTAGATATGTTAATATAATGGTAATGTAGATGTTGTACATATATGCAATAGTGTAATAGTGTTAAAAATCAGAGACTTTAAATAGAAAACCCACAGACAGGTTTCAAGTATGGCAATTAGTAAGTAACCTGCAGGCGGAGCCTTTAAATAGACAATGACTAAAGTTGTACGTGTGGCTAATTGTAGCCTCGTTGATAGACTTTGTATATAAAAATGATGTAATCTTATGTTACTTAATAAAAGACATACAGGCAAGATTGCCGCTTTAAAAGGAAAAAAAAAAAGAAAATGCTTGATTACGTTATCATAAAATTGCATTCTAATTGGTCAGATAGGAAAATCGATATAAATCAATATTTGGGAACGTTGATGGTACACAATTGATTTTACACACGGTATGAAACACAAAAAAAGCTTTTTACAATATATTATATGATTATAATCCAACACCATTTTATTATCTGTTGGGATTATAATCTTAACATCCACTAGCTGACTGATCAAGATTGTTCAAGTATTGTAAAAAAAATTTTTTTATGTGTTTCACGAAATCAATTGTGTAACATCAACGTTCCCTCCTGTTTATTTTGACCATATTTTTGCCTATGTCATATCGATATTTCTCCGAGTCACTGGTGCCGGGGTCGGAGGTGATCGACGGTGTCATGTGATCTGCAATTTTCGTGGTGGATTCATTTATTTTCGCACTAAGATTAATATGATGTAAAATTTATACTAAGCAAAACTCCTACATAAAAGATTCATTTGCAATGAACATCTCATTTTTATTGGAGAGACCTCGAAACCCTATTTTCCTAGCAAAGGTCATTTATATAAGTCATATGACATCATCATCTAACACTGCTAAAATGAGTCCAAGTACAAAAGTAATTTACATCAAAATTAAAAGAAAAATTTTTATTTTTTAATCATTAAAATTACAGTAAATCTTTTATTTTTATAAACTAGACATGTCAATTTTAGATTAATTTTGAGTTTATTTTACGATTTTAAATTAAAATTCTAGTATTTTCAGACCTCATTTCGAAAAAAAAATTCATAAAAAATCTAGATACATTAAAAATACGTGTTAAACACTTTTTTTTCAGCAACAAAAAGCATGTTTACAGAAAGAACATACCATAAAACTATTATCAATTACATCAAAACGCAATCTTCAGGCTTTAATCCATATAATTCCTTCTCAACTTCATGCTTAACTGCAAGCCAATCTTCGCGTTTTTGACAGAATTCATAAACTTCTTCAGGAAGGAAAACACCCTTAAACCTTCCTGCCTCTCTAACAAATAATCCGATATCAGGTGCGCTAGAAATAATATATACATTTCCAAGTTCTTTAAGGGCAATGAAATATGGAGTGATGTTTTTTTGTTTAAGAGAGGTGGCGAAAGAACAATAATGGTTTAAATCACTTGTTTGATTGAATGCGTATTGTGAAACCAATGTAAACGGTTATTTACAGAATTCCTTTTAAAAATTCGAAATGTAAAACGATTAATCTTTTTTCCTACCTGATAACTTGGAAACCACCGTTTATGTTTACAGTGAATTTCTTAAGATGTTTGACTAATGATCTATATTAAATAATATAAATTATCATATGCTAACTTTACATAACGAATAACTTCTAAATACTTACCCAAAAAATCTAATCCCAATTTCTTGGAAGAACACATCCAAAGTATTCTTATCTGAACAACCGATTACCAGTTTGGCATGAGAAGAAAGACACTCTACTGCATGCACACATGCCTTTTTTAATTGAAACAGCATTCATTAAATAAATCGAGTTATCATTAACGTTTTTATATGAATTAATGAATACCTTTGTAGGTTTTAAATCCAGCGGTGTGTTTATCGGAGGATTAAACTCTTCAGACCTTTGTTCCGTACTCAGTATAAATTCTACGTGATCAATAAGGACCTATAAAAATGATGTTACGTTTATAAAATTTTATCAAATACCATTATACAAAAATACAAGAACTCACCTGAATACCTTTGTTCAAACCAGCCGCTACGCTTTCATCAAGAATCTTTTCAAACGTTTTCTTCTCCTTAATACAAGCATTAAAGAAATCTGTCTTATCAATAAATCGGCTCTATATTAAATTAATTAAATATTATCCAAATCGTCAATCAAAGTTTACTACATTAGTATCAAAGTACGAAATTGATAAATACCATTTCTTCTTCGTAGTATACTTGAACCATTTGTTGTATCAAATCAGCGATGTGAATTAATTCAAAAAATTCCACCAAAGGTGCAAGGCCATTCGAAGTGGAATCAGAATTAGGTTTATATTCTCCAAGGTGTCGCGTGGCACTTTAGGAAAGTCAATTATAAGAGTATATATAAACAAATATAATCATGTCATAAGTGAATTAATTCTTACGTGTCAAACCCTGATTTGATATGTTTCAATCCGAGTGTCCGAAGAAACACTATAAAAATACTTTCCAGAATATTTTGGCTAAGTACAATAAACAAAAATTTTATTATATGACTGAATACATGTATAAAAGATTAAACGGTAAATAAAGTCTATTACACTTTGTAGCCCATCTTGTTCGGATATCCTAAGAACACACTGATTCTATGTAAAGCATTCTTATTGGTGTGTATCATATGCAATGTCATCTCCAAGCTTAACAGTTGCTGCAGTTGATCAAATTTAATATTCAATAATGCCGTTTGCAAATCTGATGTGTTAAATGTACTATTTAAGCTCTTGGTGCTGTGAGAACTCGCGGTACTGCCTCTTCTATCAAAATTATAGCTCATTTGTGACGACATGGATGAAGTTGAACTCCTTGAACGTGGCGCAGGCAACACCAGAATTTTTCGAAAATACGTTAGGTAATCACGTTTATAAATTTCCCGATTAGAGTTGATGAGAATGGTCTGTTGCCTTTCCGATGTTTTTTCAATCAGCTAACGAAAATCATAAAACGTCTGATTACTATTACAGACGCGATAGTGTAACTTAATTAAACCATGCTCCCGCCGTAATATTATCATCAAATATCACCTTTTGATTCCATTTCTCAATTTGCTCATCACATTGTGATTTGACAGTTGCGAGCTCTGTCTTTAAATACTCATTCATGAAAGGTTCAAACATGTGGTACATCATATTCTCGGCATTTATTTTGTCCATACTAGGTTCGGCTTCTTTCCAAAGAATTTCTGCTACATGTATACAACGGTTGTAAGCCGCGACTACAGTCTTGAGGTATAGAATAACATCTCGATTACGAGCTTCTTCTAAAGCTTCGGAGATGTAATCTGTGATCTTGAAAAATTATTGTTTGACTTATCTATCTTTAAAAATTAAAATTTAAACATAAATGAAGTAGCAATTTACCAAATCTTCAAAAACACGTTCAGCGAAATTATGAAAAACGCCAGTATTTGGTGGAAATATCTTGTCTATCAAAGGAGCTTGTTTTTTTAATTCATCTTCTACGTAGCTAAAAAACTCTGACATGGGTGCAAAATTCAACTCTTCATTAGATAATGATGGAATTTGTCTAATTGGAGATAACAATGATAAAAAGAAATTTCAATTTAATTTTGTATGATGTTGAAACTTCAATTAGATGCCGCACGTACACAAAATTATCCATTGGATCATGTAGATAATCAAAAAATATGGAATTTTTCTGTATGTAAACCTGAATGCATGTTATACCTCCATTCAAATTTAACAGCATAGTTGCCCATTTCTTAATATAAAAATATAAAGAATTAAATATCTTTAATAAGCTGGCCGTTACATACATTTGATTGTATAGTCTCTTAATTACCAACCTTCATTTCATTTAAATTATGTGCATCATACGCTAATTCAAAATGATGAAGCGCCGAATTTTCAAAATATTCGACAATGGTCCTGAGAACACTATTGATCTATAAACATAAAAAGATGTTACTATTTGATCTAGGTTTGGTCTGGTTTTTTATGTCTATAGTATTAGGAACTAATAAGACTGGCCTGGTCTTAAGACTAAGAGCAGACTAATTTTTTTCTAGTCCGGACTGGCTGAGAATCCCATTTAAAGTGTGATTAAACGTACCTCATCTGAATCATAAGTGACATTCAACCTTCCAAAATCAGTCAATCGAGCTAGCATTTTAGCCTGATCCGATGGATCTGTGTACTCTTTGAATAAACGACTGTCCTTTCGCTTAGTTCTAAAATCCACGTAATAAGGCAGTAATGCTATGTAAATTTTTTTGAAAATTTCTCTTGCAACGCCAGTAGATGCAGTACGAGATTTTCGCAAAAGAGGATTAAGTGAGAGTCCCGGAACCAAACTCAACCTCTTTTGTGATTCTGTAACTGTCGTAGCAATTTCTAAGGACTGATCGGTAAACCTATTTCTTTTATTTATTGGTGATGAGGTCGACACATTATTCTTTTTACTAGAGTTTCCTTTGACTTCGTCTTCTATATTTTTGCATAAATAATCTATAGAAATGTCCATGGCATTATCATAGATTTTGTTTAAACCCAGTGTTTTCAGATGCTGCCCCCATAATTCATCGTCATAAACTAATATTTTAAAACGACGGCATGCACGCGCAAAATTTGAAAGAGAAGTTATTGGAAGATATTTAAGAATGCGAAGCAACAAATCAGGTGGAATTGTTTTGGGGGCTACTGGTTTCGGTGGTGGCGTTGGCTTTGATACGCCGAGACGTCGCAAGGAAATTTTTGAGATGGAAGGAATTGAAGGAATTGAAAAATCAGAAGGTAAGGTTTTAAAAACAAAATTTTCCATTTTCTTATCAGCTTCTTACGGAGTAACTATACTCATAAAAGTTTGCCACAGTTATAAGTGTAGTTAAAAGTAAACTCAAAGAGAGAAGTTCATGGATGACACTAATATTCGTCCTGATAAAGTCGAGTATAACATTGCCTTCGTCGTTACTTATCATCGTTCGAATCTGCATCACATGCCAAGTTATTATTGTTGGGAAAACGGGATCGCGGTAACACAGTAGATCTAAAACGTGATAATAGAAGTTAGGACCAAGTAGGAACCGGTTGATTTATCCATATAATACGAAAAAAATAAAAATCGGTTTCTAACAGCTGAGATTTTTTTCCTTGGTGATTTTAAATCGCCATACCTTTTTTTTTAAACAAAAACGCCTTAATTGTAGGGTTGTTAAAAAAGCTCGGTCCTTAACATGAACACATTGAGTTTTGTTTTATTTATAACTACGTATCTGCTATATGTTAATACGACGTACATATCAATATAGCACATATTGACATAGTTTCCGATCTAGTAATAACTAGTTAGATCTCATTCACCTCTCAATTTCAGTTCAGATCTACCAACTTATTCTAGACTTTTTAAGAGAATAAACTAGTATTAGCACCATAGTAAAAATATTCACTCTCAAGTGAAGTTCTTGAAGAGATGAATTATTTTTGATTGTTTTTAACAGTGAATATCTACGTTCGTTTTAAGCTAGAATTTGCCATGATGAATTGTTCGTCAGTGAAATGTTACGTTCTCAGAAAGTACTTTAAAGTGTATAAATAAGTTACTCGGGCAATTGATTTATATCAGCCAATCAGATGAAAGTCGCCCTATAACCAACAACCCAATCAGACGAAGTCAATATAAACATACGTTACCGTTACACGTTAGCCTTATTAGAGTTCAAAGGTTTCGTCTTTCTACAAAAGTTCGCATTTTATTAAGGGCTTTGTATTCCGGTTATTTGTCTTTATCAGTCGATAGAGAGTTTCTTTCGTCTTTGTTGGATCTTTCACCCTTTTACATAATGGTTTCGCCTAACTACAGGCCAAATACACCAACCTACGCAAGAAATGTCACTAGACATTTATCTGAACTTGAGCCTGATACTACTGCTTTATGGGGTTGGATCCTTTTATTTACTGCTTATTTTATTTTTGTAGGTAGTATGTATGCAATTGTTGTAAGTAAATTTATGCCTGAAACTGGAAATAAAGTAAGTTATTTTATATTTATAGGATTAATAATATTTAATTTGATTAAATATTAAACTCTTTCCATTATAGACCTTAGATTGGATTAAAATAGATGAATATTATTGTCTTCTTATTCCAATTACTTTGCTTGTAACTATTTATGCGATATTTTGGAATTGGTTGGGCATGAAGTTTTTTAGACATAATTAAATTTATATAAATTATTTAAAATTTATATTTATTAATAATTAATAAATAAGTTTTTATAATATTTTTAATAAATAGTTCTTATATTTTTTAAAAAATTTTGATTGAATTAAAAGAAAAAGACCCATAGGGTAAGATACCCGGTATAAGAAAAATATATAACATATTAGATTAAAATAGATTAGAGTTAAAGGTGTACTTAAAGTAAAATTAGGTGCTTAACATTTTTACTTTAAGCATCTATACCGGTTTTCTTAATAAAACTTTAAGATATTAATGTTTTTTTTCTTATACCCGGGTATGTACCCACCGGGTACAAATAAAAATTATCTATTTTTAAAAATTATAAAATAAAAAATTAAATTTATAAAAAAAATTTATTAAAGATTATAAAATTTAAATAAATTAACTATAAATTATATAAAATAAGTTTAATTAAATATTAAAAGTATATTTAAAAATTATATAACTTAATTATTATTTAAAATTTGTTTATTAAAACAAAAGGTTCAAAGACTTTTTTAACATACTGTATTATTAAGAAAACACAAAATCGAAAATTTATTATAAACAATGTTCATAAATTATATGAACATTCTTGAGTCTGTATTCAATTATATCAAGTTTTATTCAACGCTCTCAAAACTTCCAAAATCTGAGCACAACATTTCATTGCATCACATATACTCCTAACTTCAGATACTCATTGTCTGGTACTATACTGAATAATTTTTATCAAAAATCATATGCTATATAATATGAATCACATAAGACAGTATTTTCAAAGACCCACCTTTCCGAACACATGCAACTTAAAATTTCGAAACTTTTCGTTATTAGAAAGTTTGATTGTTGGATGATCTTCAAAAATGCCTTTTATATGGGTCCCATTTCTTTTATTTTAAAAAATAAAGTCACTCTTAGCTAAAGAAATGTAAATTACAACATCTGTGATCATAAATAAAAGACTTGCAACACCCTGTATAATACAGGTGAGGCCAAGTCAAAAATAAAAATAACATGCAACACCTGTACAATAATACAGATGAGAAAAATTGCAACATCCATTCGATACAGATTAGACAAGATTTCAAAAAGAAATTGAGACTTGCAACACCCTGTGAACACAGGTGAGGCCAAGTCATTTTGAGTGACTTACTGTTATGGAGATTAATTAAAGTATATCTTTAAATTCTTACCCAAATAGATTGGTATACTTTATTGCACACTCGCGGATTGCTACATTTGTACCAGAATTATCTTCACTTAGCAACGGCCCTGATCTTACAATCCCAAAGAAACAACTACGTTACAAGTTAGGCTTTAGTTTATATCCAAGAACTGATCCTAATTTTTGTCATGTGCGATTACATGTCCGTAGCTCACCCACAAGATTTTTTCCGGCACGTGAGCATGGCCAATTAGATTGAAGGATCAGGTGTAACGTGAAAATCACGTCTTTTTAAAAAATCGCTATTAACTCTAATAAAGAAAATTCCTCGTGAAATTTTAGTGTAAGCCATGACCTTTCTTATGATGCTTATTACTTTAAAATCTTTCGCTTAATTCGATTGTTTTGATTTTACGTTACACCTGATCCATCGATCTAATTGGACAAAAATCACGTGCCGGAAAAAATCTTGTGGGTGAGCTACTATCGCTATTGTTATCAAAGGTGTTTTTTGGGATGTCACTTACATTATATTTTTCAAGCATAAAATTTTTAATAGATAATTTTATATTTTTAGTTTTAGCTAAAAGACATTGTTTGAATAGCTTAAATTCTATATCATGATTTTTAGTCCAAGTTTTTTGTTTTTTTTCTAAATTGAAGGAAATCCAAGAGACTCCATGTTGTATCTGGCTTTTTCTCAAAGTAAAAGTGACGCATTTTCTATTAGATGGTTTTCAGAATAATTTAAACCATCGTTAGTTAAATCTTTAAATAATGTCAAAAAAAAAGTCGCTCGCAAGTGACTCATAATTCTCTTTATTTGGATTATAAAACTGAGTACCTCGTTATCTTTTATGTAAACTTCATTAAATGCTGACCTATTAGATGATGTGGATGTTTGTGAAGTCAAATCACGCGTAGTTTGCATTTTGAATTCTCCAAATAAGATTCATTTATGTAATATTGTTGGCAAATCACGCTATATTTTTTTTTTGTCTCGGAAACGTAATAATGGTACGTATCTAAAATCAATAAAGAAAACTTCATATAAAATGCTTTAATTATTATATAGTTATTGGATACTGAGCACCCACAATAATTATTACATAAAAATTATCACTCACATCGTAACAGATATCATTTGGGCATATTTCATCGATTAAGGCCCAGCCCTATAATAGGTATTGTCCAATGAATTGCTGTGACTGGACTTAAATTATTTTACTTGATGAGTGGGCTATGAGTTTATCGTTATTAGTAAAACTAACCAGTGTTTTTTTCTAGTACCCACAGGTACATTAGTTTCGTGTAACAGTATATATACTCGAGAAAAATTTCGCCAGATTGGCTAATATAAATCAAATGTTGGGTATTTATTTATCGTTATGCATTTTAAAGTATTTTTTAGGAACTTGACGTCTCACTAATAAAAATCAATGAGGCATTGACGTTCATTATACAAAAAATTTTAAAGATTACAAAATATATACTTTGTTTTGAAGATAAAAGGCATAATTATTTATGGAATTATGTATTAAAAGTACTGAAAATGGTTTAAAGAACTAAGTTTAGTATTTGAATTTGTTGTAACATCATAAATTAAGCTTCAGTTTATAGATCGTAAAATATATAACTATAATTAGTTTGAGTTTAGATGTAATAAATGTTGCTTTTATTTTACTTTCTATGTTTTATTTATTTATTTTTAAATATAATTGAAAATTTTTTATATTTATTTTTGTATATTTTTATATAAGGTTTTTTTTATTTTTTAATAATAATATTAAGTATAATTAATTTGATTGTCTGGGATGGTAACTTAGTGAAATAGATAAGTTGTCAATCTCTCAAGTGGTAAATAGTAAGTTCAAAACCCATTAATAGTGAAAAGTTAAATAATCATTTATGTAATATATAGATGATATTATAGTGATAGCATTCTGTTGATCAGTTAAGATAAGATACCTATAATATGATTACACCAGTATGACTGACAGGCCATAGAGCATCTGTGCAATATTGAAGTTATATAAAGGAATGCAAACTGGCATCAGACAATACAAACTCAGAATAAGTTCTCATAACTATATAAATCTGTAAACTGGGAAGTCAAAGCTCACTTAGAAAGATCTAAGTAAAAAGATTGCACAGATCTTTAACAGTACTACTATAAAGATTAGATCTAGGAAATAAATATCAATGTAGAAGAAATTGGATGAGCAAGAACTTTGAATAAGAGTATTACTAATCAGACTACTAAAAGTCTTAAATTAGAGAAAAATAATCTTGAAGAGCAGATCCTGAAGTACTAAGAATAGGTTATAGTTCTTTTGGATTATCTGAATTGAGAATCTGAGATCAGAATCAGGAATATACTATAAGTACTAAGAATATGTTATAAAGTTAGTGTTAGGGTCTAAATAAACTCTGCAAAAGCAAGTCCTATTAACAAAAAGATTAAATATAAATAATTAGTTATTAGAAAATTTACTAGAGTCATACAGTTAAGTGACATACTCTGAAATATATAACAGCTTGGTAGATATATGAAATAGAGGTCAAAGTTAGGTTAAATAGCACTTAGATATACAAAAACTTGTGCATTATTTGTCAGTATAAGTATAGAAATTAGAGTATTTAAATAGGTAATCTTCTAGTAGATTGCAGATATAGCATTTAGTATAAAACCTGCTGTGCAGATAAACTATTTAAAATAGACAACTAAAAGTTGTATATATAACTAGTTGTATATTTACCTTGTACAAGTTATATAATTATAATTAAAATACAATAAAGACAATAGTCACTAATAATTATAGTTTTAGTAAAACTAAAAAAAAAATTAATTAACTAATTATTATAAATAATTACAAATAAATTCATAAAAATTAACAAATTAAATAAATTTTTTCTATAATATATGTATTAAGTTTTGTTAATAAAATTATAATTAAAATATAATAAATATTTTTAATAAATAATAAAATTAATAGTTAGTTAATTAGAGATTGAGTTTTATAGCTTAATAGTAAAGCAGCTAACCTCTTACAAACTAAGTTAATAGTTTAAGTTAAACTAAAGACAAAATTCTAAGATTTTAACTTTGTAAACTAAAAATAATAACTAAATTAGATGCAAAGTCTTATAAAAAGTTTTAAAATAAAATACAAAAACAGATTAAAAATTTTTAAAAAAAAATTAATTCTGTAAAGAAAAAACATTATATATAATAGTGATATTATAAAAATTCAATTACACTATAGTATTATATAGGCCGTATCATCACTTCTAATACATCATATTTTATAAAATAAATTAAAAAGCTTATTAATAATATTAAATCTAATAACTG